GTCTTCTTCCAGTTCGGAGCTGGATCGGGAAAGTATCCCTTGATACAGTCTGTGACGCTAGATCCGACACTATTGTCACAACCAAACCTGGAAAGACACAAAATAAATCATTAGCTAGATTAACTTCTAAATATTTTGTTAATTAAGAAATAAATAAATAAAAAATTTAAAAATTAAAACATACCATAAAATGTTTTGGTCGTTCCGTCGGTGAGGATCTAACTCTGCCAGCTCTTCTCTGCCTGGAAGGGCCAAAATATCCTCCACCGTGTACACCGCAAAGGGTGCATTCGGCGGCACCTGCAAATCGGGATGAAGTGGAGGAGGAGGAGGAGGAGGAGGAGGAGGTGGCTGCTGAGTCTCGGGAACTGCCGAAGATGAACCACTGGGAGCTGACGAGGATGAACCCGGACCATCCTGACGCCCAAACATATCTCCGTAGCTTATCCCCTCGAGAGTCGATGCCCTCTTAGCAGCAGCCTTAGCAATCTTGCTCTGTCTAGGCATCTATATTTTAAAAAAAAAAAATTTGAAAACATAAATTCCCACATAATTTAAAAAAACAGTAACTAAAAGTAAACTAACATAATCTAAATTACGTAAACTAACCACCTAATCTAAATTCCCTAAACTAACCACCTAATCTAAATTCCCTAAACTAACCACCTAATCTAAATTCCCTAATCTAATCACCTAACTACGGATTAGAGAGAACCTTTAGAGGACTTAGAGAGAAGGTTACTAGCAAAAGAGAAACCGGATTGCTCGCGTATATATAAAGAATTTTGTTTCCTCGTAAAGCCCTAGTAACATTACTAGGACCTTACGAGGAAATAGCTATGCCCGCGTTTTTATTTCCTCGTAAGGTCCTCGTAATGGCTCTACTAGGACTTTCCGAGGAAAACCCTTTACGAGGAAATAGCTATGCCCGCATTTTTTTCCTCATAAAGCCCTAGTAAAGCCTTACTAGAACATTACGAGGAAATTGATATGCCCGTGTTTTCTATTACTAGGGCTTTACGAGGAAAGGGTTTATAAATCCCTAAACTCGAAACCCCAAACCCCAAACCACAACTTCCTTAACTTATAACCTCTTCTACAACCAAACTCCTAACCTTTTCTACACATAAACCTCAAATCCCAANCCCGTGTTTTCTATTACTAGGGCTTTACGAGGAAAGGGTTTATAAATCCCTAAACTCGAAACCCCAAACCCCAAACCACAACTTCCTTAACTTATAACCTCTTCTACAACCAAACTCCTAACCTTTTCTACACATAAACCTCAAATCCCAAATGCAAATTGATTTTGTGATTAAACAAAATTAAAACATATATATAATGTAAATTGATTTGTTGATTAAACAAACTTACAACACATACATAATTCATTCGGATACATTGTCGTAATCACTTGAAACATCATTTTCTAAAAACTCGTCGTCTACACCTTCGTCCGTTGAGTGATCAGGAACATCTTTGTATTGACGATTATGCGGATCAATGAGTAGGATGTCATCAATTTCTGCTTCAGCTTCCTCGATCTCATTGGTGTTTTCTTCTTGTAATGGTGGTTCTTCTCCAGCGATTATTCTTTCTCGAGGTGTAACTTTGATAACAGCTAACCAGTTTATTCCCGAGGTAGTAAGGCGAGGGTATGAAATGAAGCAAACTTGATCTGCTTGGGAAGCTAATATGAAAGGCTCGAACTTGTTGTACCTACGAAAATAAAGATCAATACGTTAAAATTAAGTAAAATTGAAAACCTTGATATTAAAAAAAAAAGAATTAGGTGTACCTTCGTCCACCGTTGACATCAACTACACCGTTCTTGTTAATCCGAACACCTCTGTTTACGACGGGGTCGTACCAATCACACTTGAAGATAACGCATTTCAAACCCATTC